TATTTACACTGACTGATCAAAGCATTTGACTTTGTAAATTACTAACTTTTGGTTCCGAAACTCGACCTGCTAGGGTTTCCAGTCTGTTTACTGAGATGGACCTTAAGTTATCTGTGTGACAGTCACATTCATTTAATCTACACAAAGGACGCGACACACACTTTTTTAAGTCATCAGCAATTTACAAGACGATACTATATTTGGAAACTCATTAACATACATAGAACATAGCCGAGGTCCTAAACTGATCCCTTTTGGAAGTTTAAAAGGCTATTTTCTGTGGCCTGCCGTCTGCAAAATAAATAGGAGTGTATCAACTTTTCTGCCAATCCAATGACACTGTAATTTCGTCCAGTTCCCAGGGTGATCCAGCACGTGGATCTTGTGACGCCGTTAGCAAACGCGTGATGCCTTCAGTAGTTTTAATTGATCCATGTTAATCAATTAGTTTATTTGGCGAAAAGCACCAAAGATATGGTGATGAATTAAAACGTTTAATTCCCGAGTTTGATTGGACTGTATTATTTTTATTTCTGCGTGTCCGACATGTTTGGCTGTAGTCTTATCACTAAAAATTCACAGCAGCACAAATAGTATATGACACTAAAAAATACCAAAACTTAAGTTAATACAAATATATGAATTCAAAATAACGGCTGCAAAGCGTTCATCAACAGTGTGCTTGGGTTAAGAACCCGAAAGGTAATGCAATATCAGTACTTCAAGCAATGGATTCGCAATACTGTGCGTATTGTAATCCTGCAGTAGGTGCAAAACTTTTGATATTCGCCCCCATTCGTCGGCTGCGATGGGCGCATTTACACAAAATAAAATAAGTTGCCTTTCGTTGGGAAGTCAACAAAACGGAGGAATAAGAACAGGCACTATGCCTTAACATAACAGTTCAGCTGTTTTCAGCTTGTAAAGCTGCTGCAAATATTAAATTAAGCAAGCTTAAGATTTTCGTCAAAAGAAAATAGCTCGCACAAGAAAAACCTTTTGACCTAAGAACATGTATATAAACCCCAAGTTATACCCAAAAAAATTGTTACAAATAGAACTCTTGAACTCTCCGGAGCCCAATTAGTATTGTACTTATTGCGGCGACTATTGCACCTAGCTTTGTACTTGCGGCACGCAGCAAAAAAAATATTTCAGCATTCTAAATTCATTTGAATTTGTAAATTTGGTGACCACCGACATTAAACCGCCAAATTTGTTTGAATTGGGACTCCAATTTAAACTCGAAATCCCGATCATTATTTGATCACAGCAGCATTAATCACGGTAGTGATTATCTGGTCAACTAGGCGACCTAGCAACAAATTTTTAATAGAAAGTTTTTTAGCGGACTCTTTTTTGTAACTGCTTTCAACTTGCCGACAGACAAATAACTAGCAGATTTTAAAGGTCAACTAGCGACCAACTTGGCGATCAAAACACACAACCAAGGACAAGTTTTTGTCAATTCCGCAAACAGATCTTCCCTTTCAAAAACAAAAGGAATTTTAAAAAAGATTTTGAGAGCAAAAAGACTAATGCCATCTTTCCACACAGTCCATCCGTTGGAAACGGTTGGAAGTTTCAGCAAATGTGAAACTCCGATTGCCACAGAGCACATTCGATTCCGATTTCAGCTGATCTGGACAGCTGTGGCTCGTCAAAACGTAAACAAAGTCAACATGTATGTTTATGTTTTCATGAGCCACAATAATTACTTGACATATCAACCCTACTGTGATAATAGTTTTAGCTTTGTGTGCGTCAATGAATGTAATGTCTTAGAGTGTATCCTTAAAATAAAATCGAATGCTGATGGTTTAGACATTATAAGCCCTAAATTTCTTAAAATTCTGTTGCCGCTTCTTGTTCCAAACATAACTAATATTCTAACACATCCATTACAATTTTCCTTCAATTTGGAAGAAATCTGAAGTTACCCCAAAATTCCAAAATTTAATGTTCTTACAAATTCAGACTTTTCTTGAACAGAAACAGGGTTTAGAAAAAATGAGCTGTATAAGTGTAATAACAGACATCGTTGAAGACAATTGCTGCCAACTGAACCATAGCAAAGCATTTAACTCGGTGAACCACTACATTCTTAGTAGTAAGCTAAAAAATCTGTACAACTTTACAGATACTGCTGAGCATTTTATTTCTTCATATCTTGCTGGCAGACAACAAACAGAAGTATCTTGGGGTACTGTGTCTAGGGTTAGAGATCTAACTAGGGGAGTTACTCAGGGATCTGTCCAAGGACCTCTACTTTTCCCATATATGTCAATGAAGTTTATGTTAGTAGTCCGATTAGTCAAATAAATGTGTGTGTTAGTAAGAGTAATAATGTTCTGTATCTAGTTGACAATTGGGCGAAAGACAACGTCTTAAGCATAAATACATCCAAACCAAAATGCATAGTAATCAGCAAGAAATCATTGGATACCAGATGCCTACAGAGTCTGGTAATTAATAACATGCCTATAAAATATAAGGAGTATGCAACAAATCTAGGCACCACTTTTAGCAATACCTTGAGCTGGAGTAAACACATTTAAAAGGCAACTGTACGTACATAAGGCTTGTTGCTTCAGCTCTCGACTTTAAAAAACAATCTGCCACAGCATATTAGAATGATAGTATCTTAAGTAATCCTAATTTTTATGGGGTTGTAATATTTTGTCACAGTTAAAAGTAGAGTCGAGTTCTATAGGCAGATATGTGTATAACCTGAAACGACAAACGACCATGTTCCGCACTTGACCAATACACTTATAGACCTAAACTTGACCACATGGTAGATTACAGGACTCTTATTAATTTCAGTAATATTGTGACTTCTTAGCAACCATCGTACCTCTTCAATATATCTAATATAATATAATTTTGCTAGAATAAGATAGATCTTAAGTCATCAAACAAAATTTTAATATTTTCAACCTATTTTGACTAGCGCAATAAATACAAGCTCTAGGATAGTAAATAAAAAAAATTAAAATTAAAATTAAATTAAACTAAAAAGTTCTGTTACGGACGAAATCGACTAGGTTTAAGGTCAACCTTCTAGCCCTAATAAGCTTGGTCCTTTATTTGAAACACCACCCACAATCAATAGTAGGCCCTTTTTTTTAAACTTAATTGTAATTAACAAATATATGTTTAAACTTATCATTTCCTTCTTGTCTTTGAAAATAAATAAATAAAAAACGAAGTCAAAGTCCGTTTTTAAAACTACAAACTTTAATATTCCGTTCGGTTCGCGACTGAAAACACTAACAAAAACTTTTAAGCATTTGTGTTTCTTCTCTGTGTTTTTGTGATCTTGCGGTCTTTCCTTTGAGCTTTGTTTGTACACGCCGTAGTGTTGTTTTTGGTGTTGGGCTTTGATGCACATGACTGCACTACGCTGCCGCTCTCTTTCTCTCCCGTTCGTACGTAGCGTGCAGTGAAGTACCTTTAAGTGACCGCTTAGATCGATTACTTAAAATGATGGAAAAAATGCAGCCTGGTAATAGGGGCTGATGATATGGTGCGCACAAAGTGCGCTGGCTTGACAGGCCGGACAAGTGATAACCGTTCCAATGGGCCTAACCTGCATCTCTGTTTTGACGATTGAATCGAGGTTGTGTGCGAGATGAAATCGTTAATGCGCCAAACTAATGGCTGATGATCTGATCAGATGTTTCGTCGTATCTAAAAGCAGATTAGCTGATTTCTGTGCTGCTCGCCATTTAACGGGCCTTATCATTTTTTTCTGAAGAAAGTGCAAGACAGAATGTTTTGAAACTTTTTGCACATAATAATGTAACTTTTCCTTTCATTTAAAGATATTCTTTTTTAATATATTGAGAAATAAGGGGACTGAAGCTGTCTGCTGAGGCTTAAAAAAGTGTAATCCAACTGCTGACATGATACCAGGCGAACGAGTGGCAGAAATCGAAAAATTCAAAAAGATTATGAAATCTAAATATATTTTCCCTACAATGACCTACGATCTTTAAACAATTTCAAATATCATCAAAATGGCATAGGTTTAAAGCCGTTTTTTGGGGTGAAAAAATGAATTTTTAAATTCTGCTAAACGGACAATTTTTAACCAATGTAGTAAGGACCCATTTAAGATGATTGAGTGTTAATTTGAAACCGATTGGTCAACTTTTAGTCGAGTTATGTTGTCAGCAGTTTTCAAAAATGTCGTTTCTAGATAAACGAGATTAAAGATTCACGTGCAGCGGTACATGCCTGCGAAAGCTGCCATTCAAAAACAACCTTGCCGCTTTCGTAGGATATTTTTAGAATTGTAAACTATCAATTAAGCAGAAAAAAAATTGATTTTTATAAATAAAGTTACACTGGAAAGGCCCCTTAAGCCCAATAAGCCCCCAAGCCCCAATAAAACAAACAGCAGAACGCTTCCCCGGATCAGCAGCCGATCGGCAAGTCAGCTTAGATCGGTAATATCGGATCGAGATATAGGATCGCCACGTCTTACATTAAATACATATCTCGCAGTACTATTGAACATTACATTTAGTTTTTGTTTGCTTCTTGCATTGCTGTCATCAGTATACATATGGAATTTTCAAGACGACACTATATTTGGAAGCTCTTTCACATACATATAAATTAGCTTAGGTCCTAAAACTGATCTCTGTTGGAAGTTTAAAAGGATGTTTTCTGTGACCTGCCGTCTGCAATATAAATAGGAGTGTATCAACTTTTCTGCTGTTATAGAAAAAGTTAACTTTTTTATAAGCTTCCAGCACAAAATATCGTGGCTCACAGTATCGAAGGCTTTGCTGAAATCTAGGAGGGTCAACAATGTTACGTTTTCGGTTAATTTATACAGGAAGGGTAATATTGATATTGGCCTATATTCACAATTTGCCTTAGCCACTGGAAGTATTCTGGCGTCCTTCCGCCTTATAGGGAAAACGGAAATGGTCAACAAGCTATTTATGACAAAAGTGACATACTCTATGGCTGAGATCGGTGGCCTGTTACAAGTGAATGGCTGATGTTACGAGGCAGACAAACAGACATATGTAGCCCTTAGTTTTCCGTGGATTTCGCCCTCTTCTTTCCTTGAGAATAAATGGTCCAGCGTAATCGCAGCCTGAGTGCTGGAAGGGAAGTGCCTCTGTAATGCGAATCCCCGGTAGATCGGCCATGAATTGTTGTGCTGTTTGATTTCGTTGGCGAAAACATTTGATGCAATTGTGCACCAGATTCCTTATGAGGTTGCGTGCGCCAAAGACCCAATATTTTTGGCGGATAATGACAACAAGTGCTGAAACTCCAGGGTACAGATTTGGCGCATGTTCGTTTTCCAAAATCATCCTTGTAATGCTGTGCGATTTGGGAAGCAAAATTGGGTGTTTGACATTAGCTGGTAATTGTGAATTATCCAGTCGTCCACCGACTCGAAGAAGGCTATCCTTGCTAATGATCGGTGAAAGCTTGATGAGCTGGGAGCGACTCTGAAGTGGCTTGTTCTCCATCAGTAGATTGTAGTCGTTCTTGAAGCGTTTCTGAGCCTCTTGAAGGCAAAGAATGCGAGCAGCCTGCATCTCCTCAAAGGTGAGCCTCTTACAATTTGTCAGCGTGCCTGACTTAATAGCCTTGATCCTTTGGATGAAGCGTAGGGAGTAAGCTACAATGCGAACCATTTTTGTCCAGGATGAGACACGCTGAGACAGTGCTTTGATCGGTGACAATAAGATGACCTCCGGAGTAGTCAGTGCGGTAGTCTTCCCCTCTTCTTTACCATGGTTTTCTGAAATAGAAGAACAGAACTTTTGGCAGCTCAACTTTACCTCGAGTTTTTCTTGATCTTGCAGCCATAGAGGACCCATCCACCACAGGTCAAAAAGAATAAGTTCTGCAGCCAGCATGCCTCGCGTGGCGCAGTCAGCAGGATTTTCCTTAGTATTTACATGATGCCAGGCATTGCGAGGTATAGTATCGAGTATTTCTGTCGTTCGGTTTGCCACAAATGTTTTCAGCTTCGATGGTGGGCGTGAAAGCCATGCCAAAACGATGGTTGAGTCGCACCACGCATGTATGACGATGTCCTTGTGTTGTAGAGCATTTTTGATTGAAGAAATGAGTCGACTAAGTAGGAGAGCACCACACAGCTCGAGGCGCGGTAGTGATTGCTGCTTCAGCGAAGCAACTCTGGTTTTTCCTGCTATGAGTGAACACAGAATCAGTACCATTCGCGCGTACTAATCTGCTGTAGACAACTGCCGAATACGTCTTGATAGAAGCATCCGAAAATCCGTGCAGTTCGATGTGAATTTCCTTGTTGTCAATAAATCTTGGCATACGTAGCTCTTGTAGAGCATTCAAGTCGTTACGGCATTTGTTCCACCATTCAGCGATTTTTGGAGGAAGTTCCGTACCCAGCCGAGATCAAGAATCTACAATTCTTGAATCAAAATTTTGAATTGTACCACCACTACGATAGGACACCCAGCGGGTCAAAGATGCGTGCCACGTCAGACAGCACCTGTCGCTTAGAGTTCTTCGGATTTTATGAAAGGCAAACTTTGAATGAGAGCGTATCTTGCTTTTGATTCCAATGGATGCCAAGAACCTTTGCTGTTGAATAGAATCTTTTTCCTTCAGAAGTGAGCTTTGCTTCAGAAATGCGTGGCGAGTTTGAGACCCATTTTCCAAGCTTCACACATTTCATAAGTTTGATTAGCTCATTTTGATTGCGAACGAGCTCTTCCTCTGTGTATGCTCCAGTGAGTACGTCGTCCACATAAAACTTTCTTTTACTTTACTTTCTGTGAGCGCAAATTGGGATCTTGCATTAGACGGTGTTCTACTCCCTTGAATCGTGCGAGTGCTCCCTGAAGAGTATCCGAAAACTGCTTATTGGGGTCTTTAAACGGAAGTTAGACGATGTAACGCCCCTTGGGGTACCTTGTGTGTGTCTTCAAAAAGTGCTGTTCAACTTCATCGTTCTCTGGTTTGCGATGAAGTTCCTGGCTGACATCCTCCAGCTCCCAAAAGCGTCGAAGTGATGCATCAATGTCAATAGCCGTGTGCATAGTTGTTGTAGATGAAGAGCCTGTAGTCACGATCGAAGTAATGACCCATCCAAATATGGTCGAACAGCTTTTTACCAGTGAACACGGTCCAAACGCAATTGCTGCCCAAGAGATTATCTACTGACGCCAACGATTGGTAGTCAGAATCTGCAAGCTCCAAGCCATCGAACGCCTTAAGTGCTGAGGCGTTGATATTGTGTCTTGCCAACGTGGAGGTAATTTTGCTGAGTACGTGGGCACGTTCCTTCATTGTGTGTTCTGATATTCTTGACTAAATATCCAGAGCGCTGCAGCCTCTAGTTGTCTCAGCCTTGATCGAAGAAATTCACGACACCAAAATTCGTGATGGCAAGCGCGTATGTATGACAGTTCCGAAACACTGTCCAAAAGCACCCGACAGGAAGTATGTGATCCTTTGACGTTGCGAACGAGTACTAGAGCTGTGGGCAATGCGCTTTTCCGTAACCCTTGTGGCTGTGTAGTAATAGATGATCCGTTGTACGAAGATTCAGCGCATGGAGTGTCTTGTACACGAGCAATGTTGCTGATGGTCACCGTTGTATCCTCTGGAGAGCCGAGGTCGCGCTGCTCCTCATCCCTTGAATGTGTTCTGGTTACAGCGGCGTGTGCAGTAGAATCTTCTACGTGTAGTAGAGAGTGGTGACGATTGTGACAAGTTCTGCATGTGAATTTGGATTCACACCTGCGTGACACATGCCCGAACTCCTAGTAATTAAAGCACAAGGAATTAGCTTTAACAAAAGTGCGTCTCTGCTCGACTGATAAGTCCATAAACTTAGGGCAGATAAAGATCTTGTGCTCCTTGGAGTTACATTTAACACAAGCACCTTCCCCCGTTGATACCAAGGCGTGTGACGATCGCTTGGCTTGTTCGCAAGCCCGTTTTAGCGAGTGAAATAAGGTGTTTGCTTGCAAGTACTTGTCTTCGTACCGCTCGTTGTCGATGGCTGGATCGACATACCCCTTCTCCTCGTCGAAAAGGGCCATTTTGTGGCTGAGTGTCTCAAATTCCTCCCAAACGGTATTGAGCCAATCCAATGACACTGTAATTTCGTCCAGTTCCCAGGGTGATTCCGCACGTGGATCTTGTGACGCCGTTAGCAAACGCGTGATGCTTGCTTTCGCACGGCTCCTTGCTGCCTTCAGTAGTTTAATTGATCCATGTTAATCAATTAGTTTATTTGGCGAAAAGCACCAAAGATATGGTGATGAATTAAAACGTTTAATTCCCGAGTTTGATTGGACTGTATTATTTTTATTTCTGCGTGTCCGACATGTTTGGCTGTAGTCTTATCACTAAAAATTCACAGCAGCACAAATAGTATATGACACTAAAAAATACCAAAACTTAAGTTAATACAAATATATGAATTCAAAATAACGGCTGCAAAGCGTTCATCAACAGTGTGCTTGGGTTAAGAACCCGAAAGGTAATGCAATATCAGTACTTCAAGCAATGGATTCGCAATACTGTGCGTATTGTAATCCTGCAGTAGGTGCAAAACTTTTTGATATTCGCCCCCATTCGTCGGCTGCGATGGGCGCATTTACACAAAATAAAATAAGTTGCCTTTCGTTGGGAAGTCAACAAAACGGAGGAATAAGAACAGGCACTATGCCTTAACATAACAGTTCAGCTGTTTTCAGCTTGTAAAGCTGCTGCAAATATTAAATTAAGCAAGCTTAAGATTTTCGTCAAAAGAAAATAGCTCGCACAAGAAAAACCTTTTGACCTAAGAACATGTATATAAACCCCAAGTTATACCCAAAAAAATTGTTACAAATAGAACTCTTGAACTCTCCGGAGCCCAATTAGTATTGTACTTATTGCGGCGACTATTGCACCTAGCTTTGTACTTGCGGCACGCAGCAAAAAAAATATTTCAGCATTCTAAATTCATTTGAATTTGTAAATTTGGTGACCACCGACATTAAACCGCCAAATTTGTTTGAATTGGGACTCCAATTTAAACTCGAAATCCCGATCATTATTTGATCACAGCAGCATTAATCACGGTAGTGATTATCTGGTCAACTAGGCGACCTAGCAACAAATTTTTAATAGAAAGTTTTTTAGCGGACTCTTTTTTGTAACTGCTTTCAACTTGCCGACAGACAAATAACTAGCAGATTTTAAAGGTCAACTAGCGACCAACTTGGCGATCAAAACACACAACCAAGGACAAGTTTTTGTCAATTCCGCAAACAGATCTTCCCTTTCAAAAACAAAAGGAATTTTAAAAAAGATTTTGAGAGCAAAAAAGACTAATGCCATCTTTCCACACAGTCCATCCGTTGGAAACGGTTGGAAGTTTCAGCAAATGTGAAACTCCGATTGCCACAGAGCACATTCGATTCCGATTTCAGCTGATCTGGACAGCTGTGGCTCGTCAAAACGTAAACAAAGTCAACATGTATGTTTATGTTTTCATGAGCCACAATAATTACTTGACATATCAACCCTACTGTGATAATAGTTTTAGCTTTGTGTGCGTCAATGAATGTAATGTCTTAGAGTGTATCCTTAAAATAAAATCGAATGCTGATGGTTTAGACATTATAAGCCCTAAATTTCTTAAAATTCTGTTGCCGCTTCTTGTTCCAAACATAACTAATATTCTAACACATCCATTACAATTTTCCTTCAATTTGGAAGAAATCTGAAGTTACCCCGAAATTCCAAAATTTAATGTTCTTACAAATTCAGACTTTTCTTGAACAGAAACAGGGTTTAGAAAAAATGAGCTGTATAAGTGTAATAACAGACATCGTTGAAGACAATTGCTGCCAACTGAACCATAGCAAAGCATTTAACTCGGTGAACCACTACATTCTTAGTAGTAAGCTAAAAAATCTGTACAACTTTACAGATACTGCTGAGCATTTTATTTCTTCATATCTTGCTGGCAGACAACAAACAGAAGTATCTTGGGGTACTGTGTCTAGGGTTAGAGATCTAACTAGGGGAGTTACTCAGGGATCTGTCCAAGGTCCTCTACTTTTCCCATATATGTTAATGAAGTTTATGTTAGTAGTCCGATTAGTCAAATAAATGTGTGTGTTAGTAAGAGTAATAATGTTCTGTATCTAGTTGACAATTGGGCGAAAGACAACGTCTTAAGCATAAATACATCCAAACCAAAATGCATAGTAATCAGCAAGAAATCATTGGATACCAGATGCCTACAGAGTCTGGTAATTAATAACATGCCTATAAAATATAAGGAGTATGCAACAAATCTAGGCACCACTTTTAGCAATACCTTGAGCTGGAGTAAACACATTTAAAAGGCAACTGTACGTACATAAGGCTTGTTGCTTCAGCTCTCGACTTTAAAAAACAATCTGCCACAGCATATTAGAATGATAGTATCTTAAGTAATCCTAATTTTTATGGGGTTGTAATATTTTGTCACAGTTAAAAGTAGAGTCGAGTTCTATAGGCAGATATGTGTATAACCTGAAACGACAAACGACCATGTTCCGCACTTGACCAATACACTTATAGACCTAAACTTGACCACATGGTAGATTACAGGACTCTTATTAATTTCAGTAATATTGTGACTTCTTAGCAACCATCGTAC